GTACACTCTCGGCTTACACCGAAATGGCGTAGCACCTTTCTTCAGTCGAATTTCCAATGGCGGGACCTTGGCAGGTGGATCTGGTCCAAGCCGGATCCTCCACACATCGTACATATATACAATAGTCCGTAATTTGTCTTCTTTGTCTGCTGGAAAGCCATTCTCAATCGCTGTCATAATCATGCCCTCAACAGCTTGGCGAACCTCCTCATCCGGTGTACAACCGGCTCGGAAAGCGTCTTCAACCGGTATGGGGTCGCCATCATCCGCTGAGGTCTCCTTAGCCAACTGCTCCAACTGTCGATCAATACTAATACCAAGATCAGTAAGGATGTCTTCGCCTAAGATGAATTCTTCTTCATCTTCATCAATCACTAACACTTCATACGGCTTTACTGGTGTGACAGGTCCAGCAGCTGTATGTAGCATAATCCGGAGAAGAACGGAGCGACTCGCCAAAATCTTGTGCTTTCCGACCGTCTCGCAGATAATCGGCGACGTCAACGTAGTGGTTTTCACAAGACTTCCTAACTTCTTTAGTTCAATCAGTTTCCGAGCACTGATGATGCTCTTTTCCGCCCCAGTATCCGCGCAATAGGGCATGACCAATCTCTCTTCAAGGACGACAGTCTTGTCGTGCTTCGAGAGACAGTCCTTTATGCGCTTCAACCTTCATGCATTGTCATTAGCCCGCTTGTTATCACGGCGCTCATGCATTTTGCGGAGGAGATCTTTCTTCTCGTCACTGCTTGCAGTTGGGCAGTGGACTAGCCAATGGTCGCCTTTACACTTCAGGCAACCCCCGGTTGGAGGTGTCTTATCTCGTTTCACTGCACTCTTTTTCTGGACCTGATTATTGCTCGCTTTGCTGTCCTTTTTAGTTGATTTACCGCCGTGCTCAACCTTACGGTACTTAGCAGGTGGCTGGTTGGTACTGCTCTGTGTCTGCTTCTCCTTGCGCTTCGACTCACCGGGGTCTCGGCCACGTGAGCGCTTGCGACGCTGGAAGTCACGGTCCTGGTCAAGAGCTTTTTCAAGAATTAACTTGAACAGCTCCTTCTCATCTTCTTTCGCTATCCGAGCTTGGTACTTAACGACGGCTGAAACCTCTTCACGAAGGCTTCGAGGTTCAAGTGCTTCGATCAATAGCTTGCACTTAAGCCTCACACCTTCATTTCCAGTGAAAAAGGCCTGCCAACCTTGCTCGTCGATGAATTCACGGCTTCGGACGAAAAATTGCATCACTCTCTCCTTGACGTCACTTTCCCGCATGTCCATGACGACATTTTCCTTGAAAAGGGCGGCGACGTCCGGAACAGCGTTGTTTTTTACCGACGCAATGATATCATCGATCTTCGCAAGAATGAAGTCGTCGGTGACGTTATTAACGTCTACGTCCCACTCAAAGTCGCACCATGCAGTTAGAAGACGCTTGTCAAACGACTTCTTTACACTGACGATAACTTCCGCCATCTTGGTCGGGTCATTATTGCAGCGCATGGCTACTTCGTCCTCGTACTCACTTCTTAACTTGCGCCACTGGACGAGAGCTGCATGCGAGGTACTCTTGAGTTGGGGTGCTGCGAGGGGCATGAATAGTGCCATCGGCACTGTAGACGAATCTCCTGCTGCGGTGCTAGCCGGTGCATCGGTCGTCGGGTTGCTCCTCGTTGATCTTGCCATACTGACCTTGATCACACTAAAGAATTCTTTGTAGTAGGTCACACTGAAAAAACGCGAACACAGTCGGGGGAAGCTGGCACTTCCGTAAATCTCTTGCCGATTGTATTGCGCTTGCCGGCTTTGATGTAAAACCAAAAGTGAACTATAAAGACATGTACGCCGACAAACCGCTCTACCTAGGTATCACTAGCGTCCCAGTGACAGCGTCCTGCAAGATAACGTCCTGGTAGCTCTCTGCCACGATGTATACCAGCCCGAGTTGACAAACATGTGCAGTAGGCAATCTCCTACGTGCGTGGCCTCATCTCATGGGCCACAGCACTTGATATGCACTTCACTGCGTGCGGAGCCACTACA